TTTATTCTGTTATCCGCCCAAATGCTTATATATATATATATATATATATAATTGAACTTGTTTTCATAGGTATTCCTTTGTAGAACGGCGCCCAAGTATCATCATAAGGATTCAAACAATAGATCTCCAAATCAGAAACAGAAGCGTTGATCACGGTAATACAAGTCTCGCATTCTCCGACTGGAATATGACAGTTTAAATTATCTACACATTATAACTCATTTTGTCTATGCAAGCTGGTAGGATTCGGGTACTCCGATATGGTTGTAAACTGATTTTAAATCTAAGCCTACTGGGAGAACCTATTCATTCGTTTCTACAGCTATCCGCATTTAGCTTCACAGCACCCCGATCAATCTCAATTGTGCCTGCGAGCAAGCTAGCCAAAATTGTGAGTACGGCAATGTGAAAATGTTTTATTTTCTGAAAAGAGGAAATGTGCATGAACTCACACTTATTGTACAAACACGGATCTTTCAAATTCTTCTTCCACTTACAGTTTGAATACAATGTCAGCATTATATTTTCCGGATTGTGATTCATAGTATATAGATATAGTACGTAATTTTTCTCTTCTACGAATCTTATTACTAACTGTGGTCTTAAAATTTGGTTCCCTTTTTCATATTTCATTTCAGTTCACATGATTTCGGTCAACTTTGCACTTCCTTCAAACTGATAATCCTTCCCAACGAGTGCATTTGGCTACTGTGGACTTGGCTTGATTCGTTAAAAGCTCTTTGGGAATGGACTTCAGTATGAAGTTTGTCGGAACTCCAAAACAAACGGTAGATCATTGTAGTGATTTATGCGTGAACGATTTAGGAAATGCGATTCCATTACTAGCATCAATCTATTACCGTTGCAACATTTGACATAATTACCACGATCGAGGTTCAAGAATAACTTGTTTCGTCTAAGCTAGATGAGAAAAGCTATACCAAACGGGATGTCTTTTGTGAATGATGTTTATTATCCTCGATATTTTAGTGTATCTGCCTCTCATGAACAGCGTTCACTTTAAAAGACATACGGAAAGGGTAAGCAGTTCACATTTTGTGACATAACTTTTTGATTTACCTTAAGGTTTGTGAATGCAATGCAATTAACCGTTTGTTTTACACTTGAGACTTTTACCCACAAGAGTATCGCATGTTATACGGAAACACTGAAACTGTCCGAGATGTGCCAACTGGTTTGACGGTATGGACACATCGTTTGAACGTTCTCCAGTTAACATGTGATGCAGCATGCGACCGCTGCACCTTCCCGGTTCCTAACGAACCCTTAGCAGCATTTGCAACATTCTTTTCAAAATTCGTTTACCACAGAATATTTCGATAGTTTTTGATCCGACTGGCCTACAACGATATGACTAACTTTTGTAAGTTGACGCAAAAGGGCTACGTGTAGCGGCTAAAGCATTTCGGGCTTTGGCTAATGGTTTACAGGTCGACATTAAAGGAGTTCGGGTTTTAACTAAAGCTTAATTAGAAATGGAATGTTCCAGTTGTAGTTAGTCACGTCATGTTAACGTTTTTTTAAGTGAGACAATTTGAATCGCTTTTAATGAAGATGTCAAGTTCTTTGGTCCAAACAACTTCAATATTCCCATTATATAAATACCAGTCGTGATCATGGAAAGATGAACTCTGACGCTGTTTCGATCTTGCCGCTTAGTGTTGTACACAGCTGCTACTTAGCGATACTGGATAACTGGAGGTTAACTATGGATATAGGACGGTGTGTAGCCATTATCGTGCATGTAGTATCGAATCACGTCACGTCTATCGATAAATTTTCCATACAAACAGCGTATGGCTGATAACGGCTCTATGCCTGAAAATCGGTCGTACATTTCCATTTGACAACAATAATAACAAAGTAAAAATAATATTGAAACTCCATGAAAATCTTGTGTGTATGTAACCCTCCAGTTTATTTAAATAAACTGTTTCTGTTTGTGCAATGATGAAGGAACAGGCAAACGTGATTCAACGCATGATTTCGTATAAGACTTCTGGATTCAGTACTATTTCTAGACGCATCTGAGATTAGTAGCAATGAGAATAAAAATTACGCTTTTTTAATTCATTTTATGGGCCTCTCGGGAAATGATTTTTTCATTGAATAACACCTTATTTTAAACACAGCAATAGTAAACAATCTACCTGACAAAAACCATTATTTTGACTAGACATTTCTCCGTTTTCCCTGGGAATAATTTATTTCCTAATGTCTAGCTATTTCTATGATGTTCGAAAAATTGCCATCCAAATATCGTTCTGTTCTTCATTGGCTTTGAAATTCGACATTTGCTTATCGTAATAGAAGGGATATCTGAGCGAAACAGTTCAGATTTTGTGTGATATCTTTCAGATATGATTACTCGCCTCCGAATGATTTCATAACACTGATTCAACTGGAGTGCACCAGGCCCATGTCCGTAATCGCACAACAAATGAACCTTGGAGCGGAAACCACCCAGGTGGGTACAAAGTGCAGACGACTAGACCCGAAATTCCAAATTCGGATATTCCCAAAGGATAAGAAGCAAGGTACAGCGTCAATACGATAGCGTATTTTAAGCAAAATAAAAGGTGGTACAGACGATATTGTTGTCTGTTTTCAGAGATTGTTAATAAACCTTGAAAAAATCATTGAAAGAGTGTGAAAAACTGATCAATCAATCGATCAGTCAGTCAGAGTAGACTAGATATAATGCCCGTAGTTTAGACAGGAATGTATTCGTGAAGAATCTCCGCATCAAGAACGTTTTACACTTTAAATCGACAATAGACGCCAACTACTGTCCCAACCTAGGGTGAGTTACCAGTTGATCCCCAAGGTGTTCTTTGCCTTGCTCCTTTTATTTACTCTACCACTTGTTTGGCTCCAGAAAATGTTACTTGCAGCGCAGTTT